CTCTCTCTCTCTCTCTCTCTTTTGCTCTGTGTGTGTGTGTGTGTGTGTGTGCTGCACCGCCTTTGCTTCCACTGGTCTTGTGTCCCGCTGCCTCTACACTTTCTTTACTTGTTTTTCTTCCCCTCTCTCTCCCATCTGCTCACAGCATGCCTGCAGAGAGAGCTAGGGATGTGGAAACGCGCAACCACAAAACGTTCTGCATATGCCTACTCAGAATGGCTATCTGAGAGCATTCTCACACTAGGACTTTTCTACATGTATCTGACTACAATTACAGCCCTACCTGGATGCATCTGACTGCAATCCCTGTCCCCAGCTGCGCTGGAAAAGTCTTAGTGTGAGTATGCCGTGAATGATTCTGAATGGTTGATGCTGAAACGGTCAAGAGTACCAATTTTGCAGACAAGACCAGTCACTAAAACCCTGTCACTCTGCATGAGTCTGCAGACAAGAACAAGCAGTGCAACCGAGGATCTGCAGACAACGATAATTGATACACTCTGTCGCTCTGTCCTTTTTTTTTTTTTTTTTTTTTTTGAAAATCTCAGTGGCTCTGTCATTCTGCAGACGAGAACGATCAGAGAAATCGATCTTTCTGCAGACGAGAACCACCTACAAAAGAAAGTCAAATGTCTTTTTGTAGACAAGAACTATCAGCGAGGGTTAAAAAAAAAGGCAGGGCAGATGCGTTGGCCACCAAACGCAAAAGCTCAGGAATGTGTCTAACGGAGGCTATATTTATAATCTGGGTTACCAGCGGGGCCGCCCGGGGTGCCTCAGATTGGCCCGGGTAGCTCGGCCGGGCCAGGCCCGGGCAAAGTCCTGGTCAATGTCCTGGACAGTCCCAGTGCAACCAAAAAAAAAAAAAAAAAAAAAAAACAGTCATGAAAAAAAAAAAAAAAAAAAAAAAAAAAAAAAAAAAGGTTGTTATATCTAATTGACTGATGCACCTTTACAATAGAATTCAGCCGATGGTTATAGTTGAACCCTGTGTTACCAACCGAGCAGCCCGGGTTGACTCAGATTGGCCGGGGTGGCCCAGCCGGGCCAGGTCCGGGCAAAGTCCGGGTCAAGGTCCTGGGCAGTCCCAGCGCGGAAAAAAAAAAAAAAAAATCTGAAAAACAATCTATGTGATGCAGATTTGCAAACCGAACATCTTTTGCCTGAAGGGGACCAGGAAAAATCTGCTATGGAATCCCAAAACCAAAAATAAAAATAAAATACTGTATTAGACAGGGTAACCGGCATTCGGGACGGGCCGAACGCCCGAACCCGAACGCCCGAACGTATGGGACCCCTTGGGGATGCGTTCGGCCGTTCGGGCCGAACGCGGATTAAAAAAAAAAAAAAACAAGTCATCAAAAAAATCTGAAAAAAAGATA